CTATCATAAATATTTATTTTTTGTCTTATTTCATCCTTTTACATGTTATAATGATCATTAAATATTTTAAATTTTGTAACTCATTCAATTTCAAGATACCTGTTCTAAATCTCAAATCCTTAATTTTGAATTAGGTGATCGAAAACTTAATTTACGATAAAAACAAATATCAACACTGGAGTGAAATGATACGTTATCATAAAATTAAATATTCAGTTACATAATTAACGTGTTTTACAAATACTCTAGTCTTAAATCTTATTACCTATAGAATATTACTTTTTAGGTATTGATTTTAGCTAATAATTTAATGATACCCAATTATAATACAAATCTCATATATTTTGATTGTTTTATTAAAATTTATCGATTTTCCCATGAACCTAATTACGAGTATTACGCTGAATACTAATAACTAGACATACTCGATCTCAGATTTCGTTTAGCACTTTTTAAATTGCACAAAAAACACCAGACAAGCACCGATACAATGTATCTAATCTATTACCAACGCCAACCAAATTTGATATTTACTGGAGATTATGACTGAGATAACTATTGATACTCCAAATTCACAGGTTTCAACTTTTAAATTTACAAAAGTAAATCTATCCATTTTTTACCATTGTGAGACTCCTAGAATATATGGTTTACTTTTAACAGCCATGACTTTGTACATAATTCTGTGTTATACCACACACGAAACTGTGAAATCATAGCCAGGCACGATGGCTTCAGCTAAATTCACGAACATGATATGATAGCGCCATCTAGCATTCTGCGTATATACTTAGTCCAACAATTTCTAAACTCAGAATAGATGGTCGCCACTCTGCCTTATTCAGTGGTAGATCGACTTCTTCGTATATATACGACCTGTTGGTTAGTTCACTTGTGGAGGTCTGTTGTGCGACATACGTCCGTAAAAGCCGTATGGCAATATTAAAACCTGAGTGAATAGTTCTTAGTCATTACACACACAAAATTGCTCCGTCTGGCCCCATAACCCAAGGCCAGACCGGGCTAGTAGGTACTCGATACTTCCCACAAAAATGGGATTTGTATCGATTATCGAATATATGGTTTAAAAAGGGTACATCGCGTCTGTCCACAAAACTTCGACCTCCACTAAAATTTTGCCATTTTAAACGACTATTATAATTTTCAAATTTATTATTTTTTTCATTCATTAATATGCAAATTTGTGACTATTTACTATGCGTTAGTACTTATACTATACTATACTTATAAATATATATATATATATTTATACACCGAAAAATGTAAAAACGTAAGATCTATTCAAATAATTGTGATTTAAGAATGTAACACAATTTACAGTTGAGCGGCTTTACTTTTGGTATTTTTATATTTTACACAAAACTGCTGCAGTAAAATAAAAGTTGATTTTTAATTTTAAKTAAATAAATATGCAATAATCGATATAACTAAAAATAAATATTTGTAAATTGGAATTTTCTTTAAAACAGAAAAAAAAACCAAACAGTTTGTAGCACATTACCCTAGGACAGAGCAATGTGTTATATATCTARGGTAAAATTATGCAAGTTATTCAACATACATTTTTATACTATTTTTAGTTTAAAAAGGCTTTTCKAATAATTAATTATAATTAACCCGTATTGAAGATGAATATTTAACTAAAACTTACAATGTATACACAATGTTATACAATGAATACATTATTATTATTATTTTTTTTTTTTACAGACTTATCCAGATGAATCGCATGGTCTAGTGAGCGTTCGCAATCACGTGTATCAMACAATAGGATCATATTTATTTGATTGTTTCCACGACAGATTGTGATCTCAATAGCGACAATAGCTATAATTATTAAGTACAGACATTGTATAACTTTTCTGAAACCATTTATTATTGTTATATATTTTGAATTATTATAATATTATTTGTTCTCGTTTCAATAAGTGAAACATCATTCATCGATGGTTTTTTTTTATTATTTATTTTCTTTTGAATATACTTAAACCCGTGAAATTTTGTTTATCATAAAAAAATAATGCACTGGTTATACATACTTAATACATTTAAGACGTTTTCATAATTTTGTATTTAAAAATAATTGTTTTTATTATCAAGTATTCTATAGACGTTTATTATTAAGTGCCATTTATATTAAATCAGCTATTAAATACACGAATATTTCAACATTAAAAATCGTTATTCATAATGTTATATTCATAGTTCGACGTAAATTGTTTGTTATTTCTGATTATAATAATCCACTCTAGCTTTTCATTAAAAAAATAGCATCATTGAACATTATAGTATTATGAATTTTCGAATATAAGATAATCAGATAATTTACGTTATTTTTTTTTAAATTTTGTAAAAGATTATATTTTAAAAAACGTCCATATTTTTGATATTTTTTGATTGAGGTAAGAAGTACCTTCGAGAACAATATAATATTATACTGATTGTATATGCATGCAAGAGAAGGAAATACCCAAAGAACCGATAGATTAATAGATTAACCGATTAGGTTTATGAATGAGAAAAGTGTTTCGCCTCATAATTTGTGGGCAAGCAAAATTACATACATGTTGATTTAGCCTGGATATGCAACTTTAAATACACAACTACGCATAAGAATACGAATCAATTGATTAAGAAATAAACAAAATGATACAATTTAGTTTATAGAGACTGGAGTGGTCGATTCGGACTGGTGTATTTGCCACAGTGTACAAATACAATTAATTGAGAATTGTGACCACTTAAAATTAATTTATAWCTTAAATAGGTGAACGATAGCTGGTTTTTCCGATGAATGACGCAACTAGTGACTATGGTGACCTCTTATATAACCCACTTTGGTGCCACTACGAATCGGTAGTGAAGTATTTCGTAAATTTTCATATATTTATATTAAACACGATTCTACGTCATTTTAAACGCAACATTGCCATTTTGAAAACAAAATATATTATATTATTTTAACATAGGTAATATAAAAAACTTTCAGGAAAACATGATTTTAGTGTACATTAAAAAAAAAATGTAGGCACCAATAAAATAAATTCCAAATTAATCAAACAAATTCATAATGTACCTACCTACTCGACTCACTCCATCATTCATAAATAAGTATATGAAATATCCTATAAAGTATTAGTCATTAACAACGACATACATTATTATAGTTACAATATAATGTATATTATTCTACGTATATTAAATACTCTAAATTTCAAGTACCCTTGAATAAATGTTTAAATTGCAATAGTGTACCTAACTAAAATTGT